ATCAGACAAATGGAAGAAAAAAATTACTAAGAATGAATACTCTTCAAGCAAAGATAACTGGACGTAAACTCACTGGAAATTGGTTTGTGACTGGGATAAACGACATTGAGCAATTCGATGAATTCCTCTAGAATCACATCTTCTACAGCAATCTCACGTTTCTCTCGTTCGCTGAATTTGCCGAAGAACAGAGCATAGAAGACGGGCGAATATAGGGAGAGATACTGAAAATCCCTCCTATGATGATAGTGATAAGTTGAATGATACAGCTCCAAGCAGTAACGTTATCACCTAGATATATAATGTGCACTTACAGTCTTGCTAACGTGTAGTTTGGTACCATCAATTACAAGAACGGCATCCGATGTGTGCGGCTCTTGAGATAAGAAATCAAAACAAGGATTCTTCCTAAAACACATTTGGTAGTCAGTAGAAAACGACGGAAAACAGCTTCAAGAATTCTAATTTCCATTCTCAAGCACTGACGAGGGCTTCGAAACAACAAACAAATTGAGAACAACTGTCAAAGGTATTCATTCGAAGATCTCTATGCACAAACTTTTGTGTTAGGGGAAACAAAAAACTTTGTCAACTACAATAGCACACAACCACACAAAAAGAAACGAAATGAGAATATCAACTCTTACCTAACTCCAACCACTTTTTGAACGGTGATTCGCGCTTCAACCACTACTCGATCACCTTTCACATATCCTTTGTCAGCGTTCAGAATATCTCCCCACTCCATAAATGATGGAAATCCCCAGTTGTTTGAATTGAAGTTGAACTTGTTCGTAAACTGAAAACAATAAGTAAAGAAAAGCTATACAAGTTCAAAACAGCTACACATGTAGGACGCACTAAACGAAACAGAGTAAGTATAGGTGATTACAAAACCAATATTTGCCTAAAATGCATATACTTGTGAATTTTGCAAATGCATCCTTTCTGTGCGACAGGATAATGGGACACACAGATCGTTCATCGCTAGCTAGTCACGCAAAGCTATTGCCTAGGGAACAGCTGCCATAATCGTGCAATTTTTCTAAGCAAAAGATATGGAGCTAATGAGCACCTGCCGTGAAAAATCGGTCACATCAGGACGTTGAGACAGTAGCCGAAATTCTACTATAGCATCACATGACCATAACGTGCTTTCACTCTCTGGATTACAATCTATATAAACCGAGAAGAACTTCACATGCGATGTTCGCTTCGTACATTCAGTTTTTGCTGCCAGACGCCTGAAATTAAGACCTGAGTTGAGTTAAACAAGAGTCGTCACATAACTGAAATGTAATGACAGAATGCATATTATTGTACATACCACATTCTGCGTCGCACCACAAAAAAACGATAGCGCTTGTACTAATACCATTTTTTGCCGTTTTAGAGCTT